TGGTTTTGTTAGATCAATTAGCTATCAGTGAAAAGACAGAATGTTTGTTTGATTTAGGAATTGATATTAGCTGTTTTAAATCATGATGATAATTAGGTTTGAACAGNTGTTGGTTGTGATTATTTACAATGTGAGTAATCGACTCGATTAAGTTCGTCGATTAGTTATATTATGAATTCTTGTTTATGATAAATACTAATTGAAACAATCTGTTTACTTATTGTTTGTTGACAATTGTTATAGATAGTCAGTTAATTAGTCTTTTAAATCATGCTTATTTGTAAATCAATGAGTCCGTCAAATGGATGTTGTGTGTACTGATTTCTGGGCAGTTAGTTTCAGGTAATGCATACACTGACAATGCCCATGCACTTATGCTAAATTCAATTTCAATTCAGATTTTTGTTCTGTTAAGTTCTATGTATTGTTAATATGTTTGTGTACGAGTCCAGTGTTCAAACTGAATTTAGTTTTGTCCATCAGCTATTAGACCTTGGTTTTGTTAGATCAATTAGCTATCAGTGAAAAGACAGAATGTTTGTTTGATTTAGGAATTGATATTAGCTGTTTTAAATCATGATGATAATTAGGTTTGAACAGATTTTTTTTATCTGGTTGGTAATAGATTCTGATTTTTAGTTTAAAGACTGTAATAACAGTAGGATTCAGGGGCATTTCTGGGAATGAAACAGATAAAACAGTGAGGGTAATATGTTAATAGTAGTGTGCTGAAAGTGGAATGTTAGTGGCTGTTAATTTAATGGGATAATGGGAAACAAAGGGTAATGGAATGCTGGAAATCAGGAAAAAGTTCACTTAATGGGATTTAAAGTAGTCAAAAGCAGATTTTTGAATATGATTTTTTGATTTTAAAAGAAAGAAGGGGTCCAAGCTGCACTAAAAAAAGAAAGGGGCAGACCTGTATAAATACAGGAAGCATGACAGATTTTAGAGGAGGACTTAAGATCAGATTCTAGACAGAGAGTTTGAAAAGAAAGAAAAGTTGAGATCTGATTTTTAAGGCTTTAGGGGAATACACACAGAAATACATATACATAGAGAGAAAAATCTGGATAGAAGTTAAGAAAGTAAAACAGAAACAGTAAAACAGAATTCTACATCGGAAACTAGTATTGAAGTTGATTCTGTGTTTTGAAATTGAAAGTTTTTTTTTCCGGTCTGCTTTGTTCTAAGTCTCAAATCAGAAATATTATTCTTTCACTAAATCTGTCCGGATTTATTTGATCCCATTGTTCAGTTAAAATCTGAAGTTTCTTTAAAAATACTGTTACTGTGCATCTGGGTTCCTCGGGTCTTATTATTGCTCAAATCTGTGGAAATACTGCTATTCTGCTGGTTTTGTTGCTGCTATTATTGCTGAAATTTACTCCTTCTACCTTCATTTCCAGGTACATATCTTTTAAACTCATGTTGTGAAGAGTTTCAACATGACAAATAAACGAAGCTTGAATTGTAATTCTATCTTCTATTCGTTTAAGCTCATTAGTTTAAATTTCAGCTTTGTTTCATGTTGGTTAAATAGTAATATATTTTGACGTGATAACTATAAGTTAAATGTCATTTCTTGAAGTTTGTATAAGTGTTGTAATAAGGTTAATTTCGAAATTTTCATTAAGGGAAGATATAATTAAGTTGTCAAGGTAGGGAACATGGCATAAAGTTGGCCATTATTTAAATTTTATGGTGTTGTTAGCTAAATAAAGAGTAATGTAGAAATATCAAGAAAACTACATCACTAACCTCTGTTGTTAAATAAGGTTAAAAATGGTGTTGGTGGTGTTTTTCATATATAAGATAACATATGTGTGTATGACCATTAGCGAAAGGTTATTTGATATAGCTCGTTACGATGTTAGAATGTTATGAATGTTTCCGACGTACAGTTAGGTTGCATGTAAGGCAATTTTATTGAATCGGTTTGCATAATAATTCCTTTCTTATCAACTTGATGCCTATCTACCATCATAAACCAATTAACCAAAAAATTACAATTTTGGATTAAAAATAAGTATATGAGAATGAGATGGGATGTATAAGCACGAATTGCAACATTTTATATCAATGGTATGTAGAAATAGAGTTTGCATTAAATAAAATAATGAAAATTTTTCGAAAACATCTCTTCCTTTCATAAATCAATTTTTTTTTTAGTTTCATACGCAATTCATTTTTGGCACATAGGTATTGCATTTACGAGAAAAATGGTAGTATTAATTACGCGTTGTTCATTTTTATTCCATAAATACGAATGGTTTTTGCGGAATATAATTCATAAAATATATATATATAATCTGTGGTTGACACCCAATAAATTGAGAATTCTCTTCAAGAAATTTAGAGGCGTCTCAAATAGTGATTTACCATGACCTTTCATATAAAAATAATAGGGATGTAATAAACCATTTGTAAACAAATTTACACTACCATCAAGAATATTTTTGTGATTAGGGATACGTTCGCGTAACCTGATTATATTTCTAAAGCAATTCGGATTATGCGTTCGCGCAACTTCGAGTGAACATTTTAATAAAAAATATTTCTCCGAGGATGTCAAAATAATTTCATATGACCCGAGATGTGCAGATCACTGTTTAATCATACAAGGGCGACGACGTTTTTAATGTTACTTTTAACTTCGAACATATGATTTTTTTAATAAGAATATAAAAAATATTATCAACCTTTTGTGTACACGTATGCGTGACACGATTCTCTGCAATTATAAAAGGTATATAATACGAATATACGTACGCGTAATTCGTTTATATAATTGTAAACAATAAACAAAAGCGGTAACAAAATCATGCAATAAAAATGTATTTAGTAAAATCAAGATAATTAAGCCAAGAATAAAAACAGTTGAGCGACCGTGCTAGAACTACGGAATTCGGAAATGCCTAACACCTTCTTCCAGATTAACAGAATTCCTTACTCAGGATTTCTGGTTCGCAGAATAATAAACAGAGTCATATTCTCCTCGATTCAGGGATTAAAACTGGTGACTTGGGACGCCTTAAAATTCCCAGGTGGCGACTCTGAAACAAATAAACAAATCTCGTTTCGACTGTCCTTCAATTGGAGAAAACTCCCTACGCGCCCCGCGGGTGCGGAAAAAGGAGGTGCGAAACCGTGAACAGTAACGCAGTCGTGCACACTGCTCCGCCGTCTGTCGGTGAAAAGCCACCGGACCACCACCAAAAGATGCGCCTTCCAATTGCGCACTATTCTCAGCAAACCATTACCCAAAAAAATTCCCCAGCTGTTACATATTTGCAAAATGGTGTTGGGATTACTGTAGCACAAAATCGCCTGGTCACTCGTTTCTGGGTCAAATTGAGCCATTCCAAGCACTGGGGATTCTTCTCCAGGTCCATGAGCCCGTTTGGATTGGCTTAAAAAAGTGGCTTTTAAGTATAAGGGCTTAAAAGCACTTTTTAAGTGCTGGAGCTTGTTTTATAAATAAGCAGTTAAATGTTTGGATAAAAATGTTGAAACTTAAAAAAAGTTATTGAAATGTTTGGTACTTATTTCTATAAAATGACTGAAATATCCTTAAAGTTGTTAACACTATAAAGAAAATGATTAATATTTTATTCTAAATTAATACATATACAAAAAAATTATAATTTAGTTCATTTTCAATTTAAACTGATTGCCTAAATATAAATTATGTATTTAAATAACATGCAATAATCTATTATTTCACCAAAATATATTTTTTCGTCTCACAGCTTCAAATTCTTTGTTAACATGTAGACTCATTGAAAATTTTGATTTAGAATATAATTTCACCAATTTTAAAAAATGTGGGATTCAACAGCAATCTTTAAAAAAAATTGTTATGGAACCAAAAAAGAAACTAAAACAAAACAAATAGTTCGGCGGTGATGGAATTTGGAAGGCACAAATTGGTAATGGCAAAGGAAAGGAGAAAAAGAAAAGATTATGGAATTTGGAAGGCATGGATTGAAAATGGCGGAGGAAAGGAGAAAAAGAAATGATTGGGTATTTTGGAAATTATACATAAGTATCAAGGATAGCAATGTAAAATACTTGGTCAAAGAGGGGTGACTTTTAAGCTAGAAAAAAAAAAGTTGGGATTACCCAACTCATCACTTTTGGCTTAATTTGGACCTTTTGATTTAAAAGCATTTGACCTTTAAGCTGATTTTAAGTTTGCCAAACACCTCAATAAGCTAAAAAATGACTTAAAAGCTGGTCAAACCAGCTTTTAAGCCCATCCAAACAGGCTCATAATTTCATCCCCACTGAGCAACGTGGACAAATTAAAGAATGCCACATCATTTAATGAGAGGCCCACATGAAGTGCCATTAGTCGCGGTGTAATTTTGACAATAGAATTAACGTCATATATATTTTCAGATGAATAGATGGACGAGATTTTTATAAACCATTTAGCATACGATAGGGGTACTTTAAGCTGTTTTCCAAATAAAGAAATTAGTACTCCCTAATACTGTTTCAACAAGAATTAAATGTACATGTTTTCTATATTAGCTACAATTCCCTATCGCAATTTTGGAACTATTACTAAATAAATCATGAGAAGTCGACAAAAATATCTGTCACGAAAATTTTAAATTCGCAAATCGCAACCATGTAAAAATCCATAAGATTTCAAATATCCGATTATTTCATGCATTCTGCGACATATTCTTCCCTTGCTAATCCTGAATATTTTTGTTAATTATAGAAATAATCTGCTCTTATGCAACCAAGTGAAGCAATATCCGCTGAGCCTGTGCATCACTTCGCGCGCCTCCTTTCAAACTGCATCCAAACTAATGATCTCAAGCTTGGGAGACTCATACACTCCCGTCTGATCAAGACGACATTAACCTTTAACACATTCCTCGCCAACCGTCTGATATACATGTACTCTAAATGCTGTTCCATAGAGTATGCGCAACAGGCCTTTAATGAACTGTCAGACAAGAACGCCCAATCTTGGAACACAATGCTGTCAGCTTACTCTCAAAAGGGTCTTTTTGAGAAAACCTTCCAGATGCTCGATGTAATGCCTGATCCAAATGCTGTGAGCTATAACTCAATCATTTCAAGCTTAACTCATCACGGGTTCCCTAGAAAAGCTATGGGGTTTTTCAAAAGAATGCAAACTCAGTGTGGGAGTGGGTTTTTGATTGACGAGTTCACGGTTGTTAGCGTGGTAAATACTTGTGCAGGTTTGGGTGCATTGCACTTGTTGCGTGAATTGCATGGGTTAGCAACTGTGATTGGTGTGAGGTTTAATCTTGTGGTTTGCAATGCACTTATTGATGCTTATGGGAAATGTGGCAAACCCGGGTACTCTTATTCTATTTTCTGTCAAATGTGCGAGACTGATGTATTCTCATGGACTTCGCTGTTGGTTGCTTATATACGTGCGTCTAGAATGCCAGATGTGTGCTCACTTTTTGATCATATGCGGATCAGAAATGTGGTGGCTTGGACTGCTCTGATCACAGGGTTTGCGCAAAATGGAGAAGGAGATAAGGCTTTGTGTACTTTCAAGGAAATGTACCGCGTGCATCCACTTACGTGAGTGTCCTAAGTTCTTGTGCAGGCATACCTCTTATTGAAAAAGGTAAGCAAGTTCATGGACACATTTTTAAATGTACATGTTTAATTGATTTGCATAATGTTTTTGTAGTTAATACTTTGGTTGACATGTATTCTAAATGTGGAGACATGATATCTGCTATGAGATTGTTTGAGAGGTTAGACGAGAAGGATCGAGTTACTTGGAACTCGATAATAAATGGATTTGCTCAAAATGGGAATGGAGTGATGTCTTTGTTCATGTTTGAGAAAATGATTAAAACAGATACAACACCAAATCATGTAACTTTTCTTGGGGTTTTATCTGCCTATAGCCACTGTGGTTTATTACCTGAATGATTTCAATATCTCCATTCAATGGAGAGGAAATACGGTATAGTAACCCAGTTGGATCACTATGCCATCTTGATTGATTTACTTGGACGGAAGAATATGCTTGGAGAAGCTGCGAATTTGATCAAGAGAGCTCCTTGGGGAAGAGACAATATTGGAATGTGGGGCGCACTTTTGGGTGCTTGCAGGGTACATGGGAACTTGAAACTTGCTAGAAGGGTGGCAGAAAATCTATTTGAGCTGGAACCTGATAATGCTGCCAGGTATATTATGTTATCCAACATCTATGCAGCAGCAGGAATGTGGGGTGATGCCCGCACTCTGCGAAGGTACATCTATGACAGAGGATTGGTGAAAGAAACATCTTATAGTTGGATTGAGATAAACAATATCAGACATAAGTTTATCGCTAAAGACAAGTCCCACAGTCAGTTAGAAGAAATAAAAGAGTTGCTGCTTAAACTCATAGATCCAATGAAAGATGCTGGATACATATTTCAAATTGAATGCTCATACTTTCTTGTAGATGATGCATTTTGTTGACATAATTAAAACAGGTAGTAACCATGTATAACAGTTTCTAATTTAACAATTAATATGAGCTCTGGTGGTTGGTTACCTACTTTGCTGAAAATTTGGGAAAGGAAAAGTGAGGGAGAAATTTTGTTTTTCAAGATATTACGCCATCACTTACACTAAAGATAAGAAACATGATCATAAAATGTGAGGCACTGTAATTCATGTTGCTTGAAGCTCTTTGGTGCACAGGTAATGTTTCTGTGCCTTGATTTAGTGCTTTTCATTTTGGTAAGAAAA